CTTGGTGAGGTCCTAAGCCTGTTTCCCCCAGAAGCCCCTGCGGTCATCACTGCCCTTGCTGGAAAGCTGCTCCTGGCCCCCACCTCCTGCAGCAGGACCACCCTCCCACCACCTGGCCCCAGGAGCCTCCTCAGGGACTCCACATGCTACGTGCCCGCTGTGAGATGTGGGGCAGGGCCAGACGGAGTGTAGACAAAGCACGACCCACCTAACCCCTCAGATGACGCTGGGACCCTGTCACCCAACAGCCATATTCCGGCCCTGAGCAGACCACAAGCAGCCCAGGACCCCAGCGTCCTTGAAGCCCAGGCATCCAGCAAGTGGGGGTCAGTGCGCTGTGTCTACCGGGCTTTGAAGTGGTAAAATCAAATGTGGTGTTTGAAGAAACGATGAGGCCCAGGGAGAACGGGACGTCATGTGCGGACAGGCCAGCTCCAACTTGTGGCACCTCGATGTGTAACAGAAACGCAGCCAGACAGTGGGCCATCCTCACGTCTGAGCCTGCATCAGTCCACTTCGTTGAGGGTCTCTCTCCCCCCCTAAGGTCTTTTACAAAAGCATCATTTGCGGAGCCCTAACTAGCAGTGTGTGGCGTTGTGGGTTAATGGGTCAGACTGCAAAGCCGTTTGAACTGCAAGTTCAGTGGTTCAAGCTCACCAGCTGCTCCTCGGAAACCCTATACAGGGTCACTGTGGGTTGGAACCAACTTGATGGCACTTAACAACATACAGCCAGCAGTGTAAACACAGAAGCTACCACCCCACCCACCCACCAACCCCCGACGCCATCCTGGCTCCTGATCATAGAACTTGAGAGATTTCAAACTGCCTGGCCTCGCCCCCCTCACAGGGTCACCATCCTGGAGCCAAGACATCCCCCTACGTGGACTGATGGCCATGTCCAGAATCCTCTGCGCTGAGCCCCTAAGAAAGCCCCCAGGTACTTAAGTCTCTGGACATGGGCATCAGACGGTTGCTTCCACTTGATCCCATTTCTTAGACTGTACTATGTATAAAAGACTGAACACCCTGCCCTCCACCCCTGGAAGAAACCGTTTATTTAGGAAAGGTTTCCATTTTGGTAGCAAGTACCAATCTTCAATTTTTAAGGGAACCCATTTTGCTCTAAAATTAAATCAGAAGTTGCATCTGCTATTTAAATCTTCATTAAGCTTTCCCATCTAGCTTGACTTTTTCTCTGTGATTCTCCTCAGAGAGGCAGGTGTTGCCTCCCTGGGCACGACCGTCTCTTCTCAGAGCTCGAGTAAACATTTTCATGACTAGAAAGTAGCTTCCTTCAAACCAAGTAATTAAAATGAGATTTTCTAATTAGAAAAGCATGCTAACTACTTCTTAAGAAGCCGTCTCATTGCCAACTCTTCGGCTGAACTGAATAAACATTTACTGAAAATGGTTAAGTAATTTTTTTCTTCTCTCTTGAGCAAGTGGATGGTTGGTCAGGATGATTGCCAAGGGCCAAGGGCCAGACAAAAGCCGTGAACAGAGGCGGGGTGCCCCCTGGTGTCGGCTGCCCTACCACGCTTTACAGCCTCACAATGGCAAGTTCCCTGGATTCACCTCCACAGGGATGGCGCAGCTGCGGTGAGACCACAACACTAACAACCATATGACCTACAGCCTCTAACCCTGAGGTCAGAAGTCAGCTACCAGTAACCGTCACTTCAACCAGGGACACAACAGAAGATGTGAGAGAGAAATAGAGCACAAAATTCAAATTCCTAAAACAGGACAGACCTACGGGGACCCCTGAAACTCTTGGCCTAGCCTAGTCTGTATGTGGCATTGGCGCAGGCTCTGCAGATGGAGTTCTAAAATAAGCAGCATCTGAGCGGAGTACTTCCTGAAACAGCTAACCACGTTACCAAACGGTCAGCACTGATCCAAAAGCAAAGATGAGAAGACGAGGAAGAGAAGCTAACCTCCATAACTAAAACAAGATGGAAACCCTAAGAAAGCCGACACCACATAAAAACTGTAATCAACAGCATGGAAAAGGGTGTAATTGTGGAAAAAACAAAATCCACTGCCTACAAGTCGACTCCAGTGCCGATTCCTACACAGGGTTTCCAGACCACAAATCTTTATGGGAGCAGAAACCTTCTTCTTTCTCCCATGGGTTTGAACTGCCAACCTTGCAGCTAACATTCATCATCCTACAGAGTCACTAGGGCTTCTTAAAAACTGTGAAGTGGGAACCTAATTTGTTATGTAAACTTTCACCTAAAACACAATTGAAACCTTTTTTAAACCAGTGAACCCCACGGGACATGGACTAGGTTTGCAGTGTCTGCTTCTTTGGTTGATCACCAGACCTTTCTTCCTAGGTGCTTCCTGATAGATTCAAACCTCCTCCCTTTCTCATATTAACCATGGCTCACTACTATGCTGATATTGTTGGGTGCCATCCAGTCAATTCGGACTCATGGTGACACCATGTGACAGAGCCAAACTGCCCCCAGGGATTTCCTAGGACTAAGCACTGGGGTGATGAAGCTGAGTAGCAGGTTTGGGGTTGAATCTTCAAGGAAGCAGATTGCCAGGTCTTTAAAAGTTTGAATCACCAAACTTCAGTTGGCAACTGAGCACCGCACCAGGCTCCCTCCTCACAGGCCTACCTAACCAGACTCCCTTAACATCCGGAGATTTGCTTTTCCACAGGCAACAGGCAAGTAAGATCACGTGAAGTTGCCCCTCTTGCAGAGAGGTTGGTAGATAGAAACTTTACCCCCAGCTGGCAGTGACCGTGCACCCACTTCACATGCAGAGTCCCAAAGATCTGAGTGGAAAAAACTGGAAACTGGCAGAGCTGGAATGAGAAGGCTTCTGGAACCCAAAGTGGGGCAGCTCCTGCCTCCACACACCAAGCATGACTTAGCCGTTACTCCTCTGAAACATCCGTACATGAGCACCCACACAGAGACCCACGGGAGACACCGTCAGTTCTGTGACCCGAACCCATCTCTTCACCATTGGGAACCACTGTCTCCAGGACCATGGACAGCAGAGGGCATCTCAATGTGGACAAAATGGTACCACAAAGGCAGACTCAGTTACAAGCCCTTCCCAAACTCTGAAGTTCAGCTGGGCCCAGGAAGTGCTTGCTTTACTTCCTGAAATGCACCTCGGAAACTCAGGTTAGGAATGGCACAAGTCAACACTCCTCACCATCACAGTGGAAAAACCCTCAATTGTCACCCAACCCGCACCTGTAAGGAGGAGCAGCTCAGGGAGGAAGGAAGCGGGCCCCCGCTGCTCACCCCAACTCACACCTGGCGCTGCAGAGCTGTCACTGGGTAGGCCACACAAGCCAGCCCAAAGCCAGGCATGATCTCCACAGTGGGAGCAGATGGGTCATCACAATAGCCGCTGGCCAGAGGGTCCTTACAACACAAACAGCATTTTGTGTGGATGAAATTGCAGGGGTGCGGGGAGGCCCGTGGAAAGGCTAGGGTACCCAATGTGCGCCTCACAGTGACCCCACAGGGCAGAGGAGGACTGCTTCCGAGGGCCTCAGGGCTTTGATCTTTTGGGGAGGAGACAGCTTCATCTTTCTCCCTCTCAAAGGTTCGAACTGATGGCCCACGACACCACGAAGGCCTCCCTTTGCTCGGATAAAGTGTTGTTAAAAGGCTGCCATAGAAAATACAAGAGACAGCCCCCCCACCCCACCCCCACCCTGGCCAGAGGACACATCTTAGAAGAAGTATGGAATTGGCTTATGTCTGGGAGAAGAATCTAGAAAGCAGGGGACTCCTCCCTGGCAGCTTACCCACATCCCTCCAGCCGCTGGCTTCATGGAAGTCCAGCTAAAATTCGATTACCATTCTGTATTTTAGAGTTTTATGTATCCAAGTGGGCTTCAGAAAGCTGGTGAGAAATTTTCATTATCTTTTGTTTCCATTATTCCACAAACTTTGTGAAGCCTCTTGTACAATGATTTTCAAAATGGGAGTAAAACCAAAAAGTTCTCATGGACCAAGTGCCCCAAAGTTGTTGTTAAGTACTGTTGAATCAGTTCCGACCCATAGCAACCCTGTATAGGGTTTCTGAGGAGCAGCTGGTGAGCTTGAACCACCGACCTTGTAGTTCAAACAGCTTTGCAGTCTGGTGCATTAACCCATAGCGCCACACCAGGACTCCAAAGAGACCCATCAAATTCTGCACAGTGACAAGATGGTCCAGTAGGTGGGACCCCCCACAACTGCTAGCAAGTGCCAGCTAACAGGAGGTCCTCTGGGATGCAGCCCCCAGTGGGAGCCAACCCATCCCTCCCTACACAGCAGACACAGCCTCCTGACTGCATGCCTTTCCTCCCCCCACCCACCAGACCATGTCATGCACCTTAGCCACCCGAGGACAGTGTGCCCCGAGCCAAAGCAGTGGGCCCCTACAACAGGCATCAACTACACAGGCGTGAGGTTCAGGACCAGGGACAGTGCCAAGACGCTCCCAGACACGGGGAGCCTCCGAAGGCCTGAGCCCACACTCGCTGTGACCTCTCCGCTCCGTGTGGAGTGCCAAAGCTGCCTTCACGTCACCCCTTCGTGAGCCACCAGATCCACTGTGCTTTCTGACTCAAGTGTCCACGTTGGAAAATGACTTGGAGCTGCCATTTCTGGCCATGAGGGGTGCCACTGAGCTGATCCAGGAGCTGTTTGGGACTCATGGACCAGGCCCACCTCACAGCCCCCATGCTCTGCAGACCGGCTTTCTTCACGGTTACAAGGCGCTCACTGAGGGCTCCTGACAGGAGCTGTAAGCGGCACTGAAGATACACTAGAGGACACACTTCTTCACTGAACTGGAAGGTTTATTGCATTCTATTTTTGATGGAAAAAAAACATAACATACACTTAGCACAACCTTGTCATGTACATACAGTCACAAGAAGGGTTTTCTACTCTGAGGATTAGACCGTGAACCGCCTCACAGGGCAATCAAGTTTTTCTTGAAATAGTTGGGCACTAAGTCTGACATTTGTTAATTTTCTCTTTTCAGTATAGGCAACAATTCCCCGTTTTCTTTCAGTTCCTAAAAAATAAAAATAACAGTAACAACACCTCTATGCATGTATGTATTGCACGCATGTCAAATCAAACATTTCAACAACAACCGCTCGCGTTTATGTCTGAGAATCAAAATAAACAGCTTCCCATGTTGAAACACTAGTTTACTAACACTTTCAAACTCAACACTATGCCATAAATATTACCAAGTTAGATTACCAAGCTCGAGTAAACACATTCTCTAAGCCTGGTAGGTTGTTCAGCATTCGCAAGCCCAGCCACTAGGGGAAAACAATGAAGCGCCCACTGTAAGTACCAGCAGTGACCAGGAGAGATTCAGTGACCTACAAATACTGACTGCCTGCTGCCCAAGCATACGTGAGCAAGCGGACGTCACATCGCCAACCAGTGGAGAAAGCCACGGGACTGGCAGGATGTCCAGACTGAGGGAATGGAAACTGCAGGGCAGGCTCTCGCTTTTTCTCTCTCTCTCAGATTTAAACTCTGGAGAGGAGTTATCAAGTGCCAACTGCGGTCATAAAGGATCAATCAGACTTTCTAGCTCAAAATCAATACTGCACCTGGGTGTGGCATTTAGGTGGTCCACGAGGCAGCGGGAATAGTAATGGAGAAGCATCATCAAAATCTACACCATCTCCTCTCTGGATTCATCTCCAGTAGGCGTAACTGTGCCATACAAAATCCCCCCCAGAGGATAGCAGAGGCCCGGGCAGGTCTGCTCTCTACTTCCTCTCTCACTGATGGAGCGAGGCCTCTGAGCTCTGGTGCCGCGGGAGTGTGAGGCCGCTGACCCTACAGGACACAGCAGAGCTGCCCAGGAAACACACTGCCTCCTCCTTCACCCATGGAGTGGCTGGTGGGCTTGAACGGCTGACCTTGTAGTTGACAACCCAGAGCTTAAGCCACAGTGCTGCCGGATTCCTGACCTAGTCCCCATCCCCCATGGCGGGATCAACACTAAGGTGACCCAGAGCGGCGGTTCGGCAGGATGCAAGAGGGAGCCAACCTTACCTTAACAATGTCCAGTCCTCCAACGAGCTCCCCTTGCACGTAGAGCTGAGGGTATGTGGGCCAGTTGGAGTACTCTTTTAACCCTTGCCGTACCTAAGGGACAACAGAGAGCCTGAGGCTCCATCCGTTGCCGGCGGACAGGGCTCAGGAGAGCACAAAGCATGACACGGAGCTTACCTCCTCGTCCTTAAGGATGTCAAACGTCTCATAGTCGACACTACAAGAATGAGAAAAAACGTTAATGGACAACGCAGGGTCAAAGGTGCAACAGTTATCAGCTTTTGTGAAAATAATCAAGAAAAGCTAACCACCAAACCCCAGTGCTAGGAGCTTGTACCGCAGAGGAACGGAAATGAACGGGCTTCTAACCTGTCAGGTACCACAGACTCATCCAAGAGCCAAACTGATCTGGATTTTTCTCTAGACAAGTTAGGTCAGACCAGGGATCAGCAAACTCTCTGTAAAGGGCCAGAGAGGAAACGTTCTTGGCTCTGGGGCCACACAACCTTTGCTGCAAGCCCACCCTACTGTCATCGTCCAATAGCACAGATGTGAGTGTACGTGGCTGAGTTCCAATAAAGCTTTATTTACATCAACAGCTGGCCAGCCCCAGGGGTACGTACACCCATCTTTGGCACTGACCCTTACACTGCTCCCAAGGTCACTGGAAGCTGCTCATGCAGCAGGAAGGACAATGGGCTAGTGGAGCTGGCCATGAGGGAGGTGCTCCCTGTCAGGATACCAAGAGCGCCGTCACCCCAACCCATGGCGAGCTGCTTTGCACACTCAAACATGAGCCCAGGAGGGCTGGACGGCCTTCACTTGCATCAGGGACTGAAAGCTCCCACATGGAAGTGCACCCCTTCTTTTAGGAAGGTGAGGTGGTCGGGGAGTAGCTCTCTGCTGTGTGTGCAGGTCGCATTTCTATAAAATCGGAACATACCTGCAGGCAAGTCATTCTGCTGGAGACTAAACAAGCCTGCCAGGAAGCTGCCCACAGAGCAAGGGCAGTGTGTTAAGACGGAGGCAGGAAGAGTCGCAGCGAGGACCACAGGCAGTGTGGGAAAAAGCAAAAGACACAGCAAAGAAAAACCACACTGTGTAAATCTTGCGTCCAAGCTGAAGTAGTGCCCACTGATAAACAGGAGGAGTTCTAGAACCTTCCAGAAAGGGCTGAGAGTGGACTCCTAACACTATGAGACCTGACTAAAGGACAGGGTGGGGGAGTCACGCTCTTCCCTCCACAACGGGCCCTAGCCTCAGTGCTGCTCACCTTGGCCAGCACTGAGGGGCAGGACAGGTGTCAAGATGCCCTGGGACGCCAGTCCCCAAGGAGTGGCTGGTCACAGACACGGGTAGCCCCCTCCCCTGGGCCCACAGGTGTGGCAGGGAGCAGGGGGGGGAAGCATGATGACCCTTGAACCCAACAGCTTGAAGAACGCAACCACTTGCTTGTCCTTCCATGTCCCTCAAACTGTGTCCACCTGCACAACTCTGCCTCTACTGTGTCCCCTCCCGAGGACACCCTCTAACTCCATGAAAGCCATCTGGAGAACACAGAACCTGCAGAAAAGCAATTGCAAAAGAACAGGGAAAGCCTAAAGACTGGACTTAGATGGAGTTCTCCAAAGATGGGCTCCTCTGGTCACCACGAAGCCAAACCTAGCAGCTCCTCCTGTGAGTCGAGGCAGGGAGGGCACAGTGGGCCCCACACCTCCTATCGGAAGCTCCTCCTATTGGAAGCTCTTACAGCTGTTCATATACAGGATTACAAGGACCTCTGGATGGCCAAGAGCCATGAAACAGCTAGTGGGAACGTCAGAAGAAAGTATCAAGGTGAAACCTTTAACAATTTGAAAATAAAATGTACATACTTAGTACTATTTAGGATTTCCAGAATTTGTTTGCTAAATCCGCATTTTGCTTCCTATAAAAGAGAAAACATGTGTTATACATTTTTACATGGATTCAACGAAGGTAGTTAGAGCCAAGGCTGTATCAGTGACTCAGGGCTCGCACACTTGGGCAGCCCCTGGGATGGAAATGGGGGTCCTGGTGTGACGCTGCAGGGTAAGTGCAGGACCACAAGGTCAGTGGTTCAAACCCACCAGCCACTTCTCAGAAACCCTATACAGGGTCGCTAGGAGTGGGAACAGACTCGCCAGCACTCGACAACAACATGACTAAATGAAGCCCTGGTGGCTGCAAACCATAAGGTCAGTGGTTCAAACCCACCACCTGCTCCTCAGGAGAAAGAGGAGGCAGTCTGCTCCTGTAAAGCAGTACTGTCTCAGAGCCCTATGGAGCAGCCCTCCTCTGTCCTACAGGTGACGGAGAGTCGGAATCGGAAGGGACTCCATGCCGGTGGGTTTGTGGTCTGGTCCCAGAGAGCAGAAGCCTCACCCCAACCCCAACCTATCCGTGGGCGGTCCAGCCCCTCATGGAGGAGGGCCTCGCCCTTCACCCCACATGGCAAGCTTGCAGAGGCATCACCCCGACCCCAGCCACTACAGTACCCAAGCCACACACCAGAGAAGATGACAAACTAAGGGGCACCAAAGAGCAGCCCCAGAACCAGGAAATGGAACGATGTGGCCCACGCTGGCGGCAGACAGAACTGCCCCCCACTGACATGGGGGGACGGAGTCAAGCGAAATGCAGGTTACTTATTAGAGCTCCACGAGCCCTAATTCAGGCCCAGGCCACTTCCTGATCCCAGCACAGCTTCATTAGCTAAAGCAAGAGAAAGAAGAATTAACTGCCCCCTTGTTGCAGATGCAAACATCCAAGACATGACAGAGAGCAGCAGCCAGGGTCTTTACCTGCTTGTCCCCCTTCATAAACAGTACCACGGCGGCTTGGTTGATCAGCACTTTGAGCCTAGAGAGAGAAAAATCTATCAAACGCTCGGCTCAATCGGTCAGCACCACTTCTGCTCCACTTTGAGTAACAAGGACATCTGAGCAATGGCAAGACAACAGCTCACAGCTTTGGCCTGGTATTAAACACGCAAATGCCTGACACTTTCCTCTGCCTCCTTCTCTCCCTAAGCCACTGTGAAACACAATATGGCTTTCCAGGTGATGATATGGTCCTTAAAGTGGGAATTCAAGCCCATCAACTCGTAGTACAAAAAACATGAAACAAAAATCATAACCAATTCTACAAGGAATTGTTCGGTAAGGGGCCATGAAACCCATGGGGAATTCTCAGAACTGTGCCTCGTACAGACCAGCACCCCCAGTTCCCAGTCACCCTGAGATGAAAGCTAAGAAATCAACGGTCCTCCCTCATGTTGAATCCCATGTGCAACTGTTCAAACATCACAGCGCCTTTCTGCCCAGAACAAAAACGATCCACACAGCTCAGGACGACAGGGTCTGCACAGTGTTGCGGTGGTCCTATAGCTCAAGGACTCCATCCAGAAGGTGGTGCTCACAGATGAAACGCACCCACCCTGCACCAAGCTGTGGCACGTGCGGGCAGCTAACTTCTGAAAAACAACACGGCGTCCAGGCCCATAGGGCCAGTGGCCAGCTCCTGCCAGCTCCTGCTCAGCACTCACAGCCTACAGAACTCTACTTTCTAGAAAAGTCCAGCGATAGCTTTGGGTGTCTGAATCCACAGGAGGTTCGGAAGGAAACTGAGAAAAAAGCAAACTGACAAGTAAACATGAGTTTGCCCAAGTGCAGCTGCCCTGGGGACAGCACATCCGCTAGAAGCCAGAGCAGCAGTCCGCACCAGAGGGGCGTCGGCACCGAGCAGGCACTCCCGAACACCTGACCCCCATGGGCTTGCTGTCCAGGAGGATCAGCTGACCCGCCAAGGCCAGAGGAAGGGGCCCTGAGTACTCAGTACACTCGGCCCACCTGGATGGCTCACACACCATGTATTTCAAATCAGCCAATACCTAAGTCCCTGTGGGGACCACCACGCTTCAAAAGCCCTCTAAAAGCTATAACCGACCACTGCTTCATAAAATAAGACAGGCTTTCAAATCAAAACAAGATCCACTTTCGTCAAGTTGCTTCCAACTCTCAGTGCCCCTCTAAGACAAGGGAGAACCGCCTCAGAGGGCAGACAGCCTCATGGTTCCCGTTTATCCAGCAGCCCAGCGTTGAACCCGCTGCACCATGCTGGGACTGGTTAGCTCCAGGGTGAACATCTGGGGCTGAGAGCGATGTCCCCGGGGCATGGGGCTGTCTGGCTGTTCACCGTGGAACTGCTCGAAAGTCAGAGAACACCTGCCACCCAGTCGCTAAGTCGGTCCACACCAGACGGACAAGTTCGCAGCGTGACTAGTTTGAGCGCACATAGAAAACACTAAATTCTTGACTTTGGGAGAAGGGAGCTATCATTGGAATCGACTCGGCAGCGGACTGGTTTAGGGTTTTATATAAAAATCACAACAAAAAAACTGAGGATTTTAGAGTTTTTATGAAATAGCAAATGTTAGACTGTGTCTAACTTTCAGAGCACTTACCTGTCCTCTAGTTTGGGCACTTTGGGGCAAATCGTATCGAGTTCTCCTGATGCTTCTAGCTCCTGAAACGCACACACATGAAAGGACTCAGAACCCCACTCAGCAGCCAGTCACCTGACCAGCGATCATGCTCCTGGCTCCAGGTTCATTTAACAAGCCATTCAAAGGGTGGGGAGGGCCGCCAGGGAGATGCGACAGACCATGTGTGAACCGCTAAATGCTCTGTAATCCCTCACCCAATTCACTGTACAAAGTATACAGACAGACAGATGGACAGAAACGGCCCCCTGAGGTTTGGGCTTCTCACCTTGATAATATCAAGTCCTCCTATAAGCTCGCCAGACACGTAGAGCTGAGGGTAGGTGGGCCAATTGGAATAGGTTTTGAGACCCTGACGAACCTCTTCATCTGAGAAGATGTCAAAACTGCTAAACTGAATGCTATGCTTCTTAAGAATTTCCACCATCTGTTTGCTGAAACCTGAATAAGGAATAAATAAGGAATTAGTTTCTCTGTCTCATGATTTTTAATTAATTCGGAGTCCAGATTACCTACTTGAATATACATGTCTGCTCATTCTTATCAGCGATTGAATGACATACAGAAAGAAGAAATAAATTCCACGAATATTCATTACTTGCTTAGAACCACACCCCCACAGGTGGCGACTCAGCTGAGCTCTTTAGCCCATCTGTGATTGAGCAGTGTGTGTGTGTCTGTCTGTGGCCCATGTGTACAATGAACCACCCAAGCAGAGACCTGCACAAACCATGGTACACTCCTGGTCCGTGCTCCTCTACTTCTCCAAGCCACGGACGGCCGCGCTCTGCGGTCCTCTGCAGGTGTGTATACAGCACAGCTGACAGCATTCTCTGGGGTTCCAGATGATGTCATCACAGTGACAGGGTGTTCTTGCTCATCTTGGGCCAGAGCGCGACAGCTCCTTTTCTAAGTGAGTTATGTTCCCCAGTGTATGTGATGGGATTTTGTCTTCACCACACAGCAGTGGCAAATGTCGTTCCAGGACTTTGTGACACTTTTGTGAGGGATTTTTGTTCCGTACCTTCTCCCATCACTTCCTGATGATGACACTAGTACTGAAGAGAAAGTGTGTGCGTTATCAGTCTTCTATAAATCTGTTGGTCTAGACTGGATAAGGGTATTATTCTCTCTGTAAGCGAATTCCTCCAGACCGTTTTCCAATAATTTACGCGCACACACGCACACACACACACGCACACACACACACCAGGTCTTTCACTCGTGCCTTTCTTCTTCTAAAAACTCATGAAGAGACAACCTACTGCTTCTTCAGATTGAAAATCCTGCTAAGATTTAGCAGCACCCGTAATAGTTTTTAACAAACTCACATCCTAAAATTCTCAGTAAGATCAACTGCAGGCCTTGGTTATGGAAACATGAAGCGCCACCGTGTGTGGGTTCGGGCCAGTCCTCCGCAGTAAAGTGCGTCACATGGATTGCTGGGTTTCCCAGTCTTGATGGCAGACAAGGCCACGAGGTGGACCACAGCACGATGAAACCGTGACATCTTAGGACAGGCATCAAAGTCAGACACAGGCACCGAGCAAGCATGTGCTACTGGAGAAACAGCGCCCAAGGACTCGCTGAACGCGAGGTGGTGGCAACGCTTCCATCTGTACAAACAGCACCATTCCGGGAGGCACGAGGCACGCTGGACACCTCGCGGGAGCACTGTCGGTCCTCGGAGTTGATCCCCACAGCCCCAGTGGGGAATTGACCCTGGGTCGGAGATCTTTTCCTTCAGCGGCAAGCTCAATGGGAAACAGCTACGGCTGACTGCCGATGGTTTTGCTGCTGCCGACCCGTCTGCTCCTAGGAGTCTCCTGTAACCGCTGTGGGACAGCTTTACTCTCGCTTTAGGCAGTGACGTTCAGACTTAGAAAGGCTGACTGGGAGGGGTTTGCAGGATTAGCATGGGGATTGGAAGTCTGAAGCTTCCGGATCAACTACCGGGAAAGCTTTCTTCTAATAACCAGATGTGTATGCTTTTCTTCCGGAGGAGCAAACCCATGTGTGCAGGAGAAAGTTTACAAGTGGCAACACCAGGCTTAACTGTTTCCACCTGCAGTCCATCTACTCGTGACAGAAGACTGACATTTCTATCCAGGGGACCAAGCATCTTTGTTAACTGAGACAGCCACAAGAATTTCCAAATAACCTAATGTACCTGGGGGCAAAGTAGACTATTCTGCCTAAAACCTCATACACCACGGTGCGTCTGGAACCTGCCTAGAACATAGGAGTGGAACAAGAGCCACCCAATGGATGGCAGCAGGGACACCCACATGAAATTCAGATGTGACTCGTTCATGGTTTTTGGAGGCACACAAAGGGAAAGAGGGCCAGTGGGTCCCACATCGAGGGGTGTGGCCAGCAGCCATGCACTGGGGCTCCACATAGCCAAGGAGCTAAAGCAATCCTCCACCCCCAGCTCCCAGGGCAGACAAATCGCTTAACGATCAAGACGCATCCCAGGGCACATGGACAGGGAACGTGGCGTTGGAGCCAAATCAGTGAAGGGAGAAAGCAGTGGGATCGAGTCCAGTCAAGATGCTTCAAGAATGTCAACTTCAGAAAATGGTCTGCTTATTACATTGGATAGAAAGATATGTTGCAACAGAAAACAAAATACAGGGAAAACAGAAAAGCTCAGTAAAAACGTGGTTCTGGAACTCCCAGGGAAGTACGCCCGTAGAGTGAACTGATAACTGTTAAATCCTATCTGATGCCTCCCACCATCTAACTGCCCAACACCACGGGCTGCCGAGGGCTCCGGAACTAATCTCCTCTCTTTGGTCCTACCGTGTAACGGCTTCTAACCACCACTACTCACCACTGAGACCGTCATGACGAGAGGCTAGACGCAGCCTCAACACACGCTTGCGGATGCAGCAGGGGCAGGGAAGTAGTACCCTGGTCTGCCTCCAGTGGACTTGAAGACGCTCAACATGGGCAGGAGAAAGGATCTGAGGGACAGTGGAGGTCACCGACGGAGCAGAGGGCCAGCACGCCTCTCCTGCACGCCCAGCAATAGCCCTCCTGCCCATCTCACTATGGCGTCACTCGGGACAAGGATGAGACCCCTCCCCCAATGGCCACATTGTAGCCTCACAAGATTCAGTGGGCAGATCCACCCATGCTCCATGCCAGCATGTTGGATGCCGAGACGCTGGCTAAGCCACCAATCAGGCTGATGGTACCGTCTATGCTCCACGTCCTTGTCATTGGGCCACCAGGAGATGTGCCAGAGTGGGCCACTTGCACCCCACACAGTCCAGAGCCTGGCCGCTAACTCCAGGGCTCATAGGCATTGTCTGAGACGGAAATGCGGCAAGAAAAAGCTTCAAGTGGAACCGAGAGATCAAGGGGCCGTTACCCGTGCTCATCCGTCCACATGCGATCTGAGGACTACAGGGAAGGGTGCAGATCCCAGTTATGCCGGCAGCTGGGCTCTCCTTATGAAGCCACACTGCACACGCAATAATCACACCCACAGCTTTCTCAGTTTTACTGCCACTGTTTTCACCAACTCCCTCCTGTGCACTTGGAACACATGCTCCCAGATCTTCACCGTCAGCATCAGCAGACCTTAGCCCCGTCCAGTGATGTGGGAGGAGGAGCAGGAAGGAACAAGCTGACTGGGCCAGAGACGTCAGACAGCTCCACGCTCACGTAAGGACATGATGGCCAGCACACACATGGAGAGGTGGCAGAGAGGCCAGGAGCCACAGGGTCAGGAGGCTCTGAAGCCTGCCCACCCATGCAGTGGGGTGAGGGGTAGTCTCGGGGTGCCACTGGACACAGGGACTCTCCCAGCACCCTGCAGTAGTCTCACTGGTCTGGGTGACAAGAGGCTGCCCAGTAAGAGCACAGCAGGCCAGAGGCAGTGCCCCCTGGTGCCCAGGGCCAGGCCCCTGAGGACAACCAAGCTCCCAACTGAGTGAGTGACCGCAGAGTGTCTTACCGCAGCGCGGCTCCTGAGGCGTCCCTTTCATGAAGAGCATGCAGGGGGCAGCGGTGGTCAGCTTCTGGAGACGGAGGACGAGGTCTTCCTGCATGGACCCCTTGGTGCTGGGTGGGAAGGTGCTGCTGGACGCATGCCGATGGACCTTTTTGGTCAACTCAGGGGCGTGCGCTCCATCGAGTCGGTCAATCTGCTGAGAGTTCTGAGGGAAAAAGCGTTAGAATCCCTTCATCAAGTGCACACTTCAAGGTCCAGTGTGACGAGCATGGGTTACAGGTCAGACGACAACTCCTGGACACATGACAAAGCACATCACCCCGTAACCCACCTCTCAACATCAGAGATGTGAGCAGGGAAACATACTGGGAAGACATGGCTACATCACAAACCCAAACTCAACCAGAGTCTAACCTAAGGAAGAAAGATGTCCACCCTCCGTTTTGAAGCAGGTGTCGGGGAAATCTGCGCCGGTCCCTGGAAGAGCCGACCATCACATCACAACACTCAGCACATGCCCTACGCAAGTCGTGGGGTGGTCTCTGGGTGTCTCGGGCCATGTAGGTGAGCTTTACCCAGAAGCTCCAGGGTCTGGGCCTCAGGCTGACGTCACCTTTCTGCATCCTTCTGACATTCCCCATTCAGAGGGAAGGGTCCACGGCCATGGACTCAGACAGACTGTCCCACTGCCCCCACCCAGGGAGGTTGGCGGGCCATCTTCATCCTTACCTTGAAGAACAGAAAGGTAGGCACTGAACTAATGTTGTACTTCTCCGACACTTCCGGGACAGCCTCAGCTTCCAGCTTGAAGACAAAAGGAGGCATGTGTGGTAAGCAGGAGACTGTCTCCTGCCTCTCATCCCACAGCCTGTGTGGCATGGTCTACAGCCCCTTCACACGCCAACGACAACGACAGCCCCGAGCCTGGGCTTTTATTTTGGCAGAACGCTTCAGAAGATATATGGAGGCTGCGGGTGACATTCTGGGTATACAAGTCCTGTGCTGTGACCCCAGCCATGTCAGATGACAGGGCTTAATCTCTGCCCCCAGCAATGGCCACCGTTGGCACTCCTGACAGGTTCCAAGAGGCAGGACATTACGACTGGCAGTCACTGGCGCCCACCAGTTAGGAAGTGAGGAGGAGCATTTCTACCCTGAACATCTGCGAGTCTGCTGTGCAGGAAGCAGGCCCTGCGGGGTCTAGTAACAGCTGTGCTTTCAGCCTGACACCACCACACTCAGGCTGGTCATCCAGGGGCAGCCCCGCGTCGGGGAGCTCTGTGGGAAGATGGGCTCCCCCACACGGCACGGTATGAGGGCAGGCCTTGTGAGGCAGCGGATCTTCTACCGCGCTCTCCCTCACAGGACTGCCAAGATCACAGACACTATTGGAAACCAGTAAAGACCTGCATTCAGGTTACCCCTGCAGGAAATAAAACTGATGTGGTTAAGTTACACTGTTACAAACGTTCTATGTCTGCCCAAGCAGCGAAGGTTTCCAGAAAGCTTGAAATGCTCTTTTCATCGGGAATTTTGTCCAGTCCATTGTCTAGTTGAATGAACTGGCCATTTGCCATCTGTATTTATTCCGGGTAGGTGTAACTGTGTAAACGTTAAGTTACCATCGCTCACCTGTCCAGTAAAAGTGACAGAAAGGCAGCAGGCAGGACACAACCGCCTGAGACACCCCTGCCATTTTCTCCTACACGATTCCACCCTTCACCCAATGGTGGGAACAAAGCTGATACCTCGGGCACACCTACACTGGAAGCCAGGTCTGTTGGGGTCAGCAGTGGGCCTGCCTGAAGGACGCCAGGCTCTCACAGGAAGTAACACAAGCCCAAACAAGGTGGCGGACTTTAGCTAGCAGCTGCTCCTCAGAAACCCCACCCAGGAGCAGCGAGGTATTGCGGTCTTAAGGTAGGACACACCAGGTCAGCACCTGGACAGTGTCAGCCAGGCCTTTCTCCTGGCTGGAAACCACTTGGCCGCCAAGTGTCAACTACTACTGAGTCCCTGGGGCCTCTGGGTAGCAGCAGTCCGTAAGTGCCTCCCTCAGCTCAGCTCCCAAATGAAGTCAGGGGTGAGAGCGCTCCAGACAAGAGACAGGACATTCCCAAAGAAAGCAGAGCCCCACTCCAGGGCCACACGCCAGCCAGCGCCACTTCAAACTCTCTCGTCTTTCATTTCTCTGCGTAGGCCGGCAGTTTCTGCTCCTCTTTAATCCAGACTGTTAGCCCCACTACAGCCCAGAGAGAAAAACGTCTGCATTTCTACATCAACCTGAAGCTGATCAACATCCTTTCCAAATGACATGAATCAACTTTCCTAACCGATATATGTTCATACATCCAGGTGTGTCCCCGGGGCTTACACTGGCTTACGTGATGCCACTTCTGAACCCCACAAGTAATGCCTGCAACACTGAAATCCTAAACCTCTGTACCATTAAGGTGCTGCGAAAATGTTTTCAGTGAAGTCCTGGTGTAGTGCTGCAGGGTCATGTGCTAGACCACAAGATCAATCAGCGGTTCAAACCCACCAGCCGCTCCTTGGAAACCCTATACAGGGTCGGTATGGGTTGGAACTGACTTGATAGCTCTTCACACCACCACAATGAATAGTTCTAACAATGACAGCCGAAAGTCAGCATACAAATACTTTTAAAGACCTGCGATCAAAGGAGGACAAGGGAGCTCAGGAACAGCAGGGCACAGGGCTCACTTGCTGTCATAAATGGTGACCGGGCCAACCTCCAGTGGGGCACACCACATGGATGAACACTGCACTGTGTGAGACAGGTCAGTCACAAAGGGACAAATGTGTCGATTCTAATGACATGAAGCAGCTCAAAGGGCACAGGTACAGAGACCAGTACTACAGGAGAACACACGATGAAGACACTAATGTCAGCCAACTGTGCACAACAAGACGACTGCACAAACGGCACAAGTTCTGACACCCAGAAACCTAGTGACTCTTTTCCTTATTCTTAAATGGCTGATGGTCCAGTCTCATTCTAACTCAGACACTGACACACAACAAGAGCGCCGCAGCTGCCCACCTTCCAGAAAACACTAGGTAACAAGACCAAGATACGACAGCTGCTGAGTGGTGGGGTGAGGAGGTCAGGCGACAGAATCGAGTCCCCCTGTCTCACCAATCCAAGGCTACTCCTATCTCCTCACCTCAGTGGCCGTTCTGTGGTCTCCTCACACCTATTCTGGGGCTCAGCATCAAGTCCTCTTCTCTTTTACCTAGTCATTCTCCAGGGACGACTCCACCACTCCCATGATGACCCCTAGTTCTTTCCAGTCTGAACCTCTGCCCTAACGTTGAGACTGTTCTCGGATGTCTAACTCCCACTGGACGTGTTGAAACAGAATCTCTGTCTCCCTTCTCACCCTACTCCCACCCATGGCATCCATCTCATGGAAGCGATCCAGATGCTCAGGTTAAAGGAGGCAGTCTAAGGCATCTGTTTCTCTCACTCCCATCTGCAGTCCCTCAGTGGGTCTGCTGGGCTCCACTTCCACTGGACACCAGTATCTCAGACACAGGTATTTCCACATCCGAAACAGGTAACACTGTCCTCTGTTCTTGCACACACACACCCTTCCAGCCACTCTACACACAGCAGCCATTCAGACACAAAAAACGTGTCACGTCCACAATTAACCTACCCCAAGGGGCAGGTCACTGCCCTCAGACTAAAGCCACTGTCCACAGAGCTCTGTGCCCTGCCCGCCTTCTGCCCCTTTACTGCCTCCAGCCTCCAGAGCCATCTGCCAGGAGCCTCCCACACCCTCCTGCTAATCCTAATCCTCTGTGTACAAGCTCTTTCCCCAGATCTGCAACCACTGACTGCTTTCCATGTCTTAGACCACACCACACTACTGCATTTCTCACAACCACAGCTTGTGGTTTTGCATAAAAATACAGTAGGACCCTTCCAGCCCAGCACTTGGGTGCCTCTGCCAGCTTCCTTCTTCAGGAGACTTTAATTCTAGGACACAACGGGAATGAAACATCGGGGTACTCGTCTCCTACCTGGGGGCGCCAGGACCTAGAGGAACGTGTGGCAGTGCGTCCACACTCTGTAATAGTGGGTGGCGGTAGGTCTTCAAGGCTGTCAGTGCTGATGAGAGACCAGCATTCTAGGACACGGAGTGAAACCTCATAAAGAAGCTTCTTCTCAGAGAGCGATGAAAGGAAAGAATGGCTTTCCAAATCAATTTCCTTCTGACAACCAAATGTCAGTTTCAAAACAGATTACTCAATTAATACTTTTACAACTTGTTGCCCCCTTTGTGAAACTTAGCTGACCGCCACCACCATCTACTGATGTCAAATGGACCCTACTCCTGACGATCCCACGTGTGTCGGGGTGGAACTGTTGTGAATAGGTGATGTTCTCCATCACTGTCTTCAAAGGCTCCTCAGTGGGCTCAAACCTTCAACCTTCTGGTCAGCAGTCAGGCTGGCTAGCCATTTATGTATGCCACAGGGTCTGGCTGCCCGAGGCAAGTCCAGCTCACTGGGAACCTGCAGGGCAGGTGAGGACTGCCCAAGGGCTTCCAGCTCTTCCTCTGTACACAAGCAGGATGGTCACATCTGCCTTGGAGCAGCTGGTGGACTTGAATCACCAACCCTGTGCTTAGCAGCCACATGTGAGAGGGCACAGGCCCTAGACTCTCCAAATACTCCCAATGACAAACCGGAGCTGCTTGACCCCGGAAGCACCAACTATCTCGTGAACATTTTCGCTTCTCATTTCCTCACCTTGGGGTGCCAACTGGGGCTTCTTAAATGAGCTTCTTCACCAAGTCCTGAAGACCCTTTGGCCTGTGATAATGTCCAATGGAAGACAGACTGGGCCGCACAGAGAACTTCTGAGGTAGGGGAGCCGCTGTGGCCACTTACAGGAAGGACAGGTGCAAACAGGCTCAGGTATCTGTGAGCAGGACCAGGCTCCCAATCTTGGCAAGTATAGACACTTTAGCAGTTGGACAAGTGAAAACCTGACTGCCAAGTACGTGCAGACGTGACAAGTAATTCTAAAGTCACTTTAAATAAGTCATCCCGATGGCTGGCAGCTAAGAACGATGTACCACCTACAGCAGTAACGGGAGACACTGAAGGCGGACTCAGAACCATTAAGGCGATCGTGATCAAACTTACCATTGAAATGTTTAATCATTCATTTCCCTTGTAATCCAGAGCTTTTACCACCGAGTACACACGCAGATCGAATGTCCTCTTCTATTATTGACATTGGACATGTTAGGGCTACACTCGAAGACTACATTACACATTTCATTGGGATTTTTTATTTAAATCTTAATTTTTTTTTAAGTTATTATGTTCATCCATGTCTCTCCTACACTGGGAGGATCCCTGCTAAATGAATACATATGGCTACTTCTGGGTGTGGGCCAACAGGAATGACAAGGAATGGAGCGTGTCTGAGATGCCTCGATGTCTACCTGTTGACCTTCTACCTACATACGCTGTCTACCTGTTTACACTGTTTACCTGTTACAACGGCTGTGATTTTTGAGCCTTCAGAGAATACTTCATCCACACAAGAAAAGTTATGGCACTATAGGATAAGCACAGGACCGCAGGGTCTGTTTAAACCACAAGGTGAGCAGTTTAAACTCAACAGTCGCTCCTCAGGAACTCTCTACTACTAGGTGGCTGCGAGTCAGAACTGACTCAGCAGCACGTAACAACAAAACCACTACAAAAAGAATCTGAGAACTCCATCACCTGTGTAATAAGCTATGCACCTGTCAAAGACTCCGTACAGAGGAGCACACAGAAAAGTACAATGGGGTCTTTTTTAAACTTTAGTTACCGTGGTGGGTAAGTTTACTTGCTTGTCCCCTGAACTCACAAATCCTGGATTTTCATCTTAAAAGCACAGGCTTTTGAATTCAGGCTATGGCTTGTCCTCCATGAACTCATTTCTAGATCCCTCGTCACACTTTGGCCAGCACGGAGTCTGGTGTTGACCATGGCTGCATGTCACTGCCCTTGTAGCTGACTCACTCGGGACGCGGCACACACGGATCCAAGGTGACAACTGGCAGCAAAGGGCCCCTGGCACCCTTCCTCCTGTGCCTCTGGACTGGGTGAGGAAGACATCGGTTCTAACCAGTCTGGGCTGGCGCTGTCGGTTAATGCACTGGACTGCAAAGTAATTTGACCTACAAGGTCGGCAGTTCAAGCTCACCAGCCACTCCTCGGAAAGTCTATAAAGGGTCACTATGGGTGGGAACCAACTTGACGGCTCTGAACCACCGCCACCACCGAGCCCCAGGAAGCAGCTCTGGCTCCTCGCCATGTCCCTGTACCACTTGGAGATGTTCGGGCTTCACTACCACCTCACCCAGCGTCTGTGTCTTCCCACCCACGATGGACAGGAAGTCTGGTGACTGCACTTCGCAGAGCTGCAGAAATGCAAGTGCTTCTCAGACAGGAGTCATCTACTGCACCAAGAACAGGTCCCCATGCCCATCACACACATCTGGAACTCCGAGCCACCCCAGTCCGTCTAGTTTAAGCCACAAACAAGGATCAAGTCCCTGCCGACAGGACAGTGACAAGGCAGTACCTTCAAGAAGGACACCTGAGGCTGCTCCTGGGCCAGCTCCAGCATCACCTGGTTCATCTGGGTACACTGTGGGGCCCATGGCGTCCAGAAATGCACCACCACCAGGGACCTGCAACCACAAGATGCATTCAGTCTGAGATGACATTCTCTTTGCAAACAGACAGAACGCTGTTCCGAAAGCCACCATCAAGAAGCCCAGCGGTGTGTTAGATAGAGACAGAACGCTGTTCCGAAAGCCACCGTCAAGAAGCCCAGCGGTGTGTTAGATAGAGACAGAACGCTGTTCCGAAAGCCACCGTCAAGAAGCCCAGCGGTGTGTTAGATACAGACAGAATAAAAAGCCGTCTGGAAGGCCCTAGGAACCTGCTGGGTATTTTTTCAACTTAGTGTTATTTCTTGAGTCAAGATTTATCCCCTAGAAGTGATTCTGAACATTCACCCATCTCAACTCACAATTATGCACATCAACTCTTACCTTCAGATTCTGGGGAAAGGTGGGAACTACAATTCTAGCAAGAGGCATAAAGTCTGTGGAGAATGGTGCCAGCCTGGTAGCACAAGTGGATTACAAGGTGTGCTGCTAACCTTAAGGTCAGCAGTTTGAACACACCCATCACTCCATGAAAGAACAATGAGGCTTTGTGCTTCGGTACAGATTCACAGCCTCGGAACCCTACCCAGGGTTCGAACCAAATGGGTGGCACGATTTACTTGGAAACGTGACACAGAGATGAAGACCACGACCAGGGCACGGCAGGGCACACCCACCCACTGCTGTCAAGCCAATTCTGACCCAGGGGCCCTGCGGGAGAGAAGGATTCCGAAACTGTGGCTCTACGGAAGGACACAGCCTCGTCCTTCTCCCACAGAGCTGCGTCACCAGGGTTCAACAGAATGTTTAAAATGAAGATCTGAAAGAAAACAAGGGGAAAAGCAACTACTTTTCCAAAGACATCCTTTCATACTGATTTTACACTGTGATTCACAAGCCATTCCTTAAACTAACAGTAAGCACAGATAGAATTGTGGACTAATAACCCATTTATTAAATGCTCACAAGTCTCAGGGCACATCTATCGTAAGGACTTTCAGACACTGATCTTAACTATTTTTATATATAATTATCTTCATCAAGATATCTTTATGTCTATCTTTATATCCAATTGAAAATTTCTCCGTTGTATTGAACTCCAAGTTCAAATGTCATCTTTTCTCTCCCTTCCCCCCAAAGCTCAGGAAGACGACATGCAAAGCACATACATGTGTGTGCACATGTGCTTGTGTGTGTGCTGGGCATGCCTGTTACCAGGAGGGAGGGAGGAACGCACAGCCCACCTGTGGCACGAGAAGGCCGCCAGATAACCCAGGTGAGTGATAAGGACCACATTAAGAGGTAGAAGAGAGAGGGTCCAGTGACAGACAGACAGACAGACAGGCAGGCAGATGGGGCATGTGTCTAAGGCTGAGTTGTCCTGGCTTAGGGACTGATGGCAGTAGCAACACTAGTCAAGATAAGTGAGTTGTTGGTGTGAAGTGCCATCAAGTCAGTTCCGACTCACAGCCACCCGGTATAGCATTTCCAAGGAGCGGCTGGTGCATTTGAACTGCTGACCTTGTGGCTAGCAGTCTAGCGCTGATCTACAGCACCACCCCTGGAAATTGCCAATCTGAGGAGACAGGAAGTCTAGTTGAGTGGCTGCTAGGACAGTCTGGATCTCTGGGAATAGACAAGAAACTGATAGTGCTAAAGCCAGAACTCTCCCACCCAGAGGTAGTCATCAGCATTGAGTTAAGGCACCCAAACTAAGCCAAACCCACCATCCCGAGTCGATTCTGACCCACAGAGACACCAATCTTTACTGGAGCCGAGTTTCCTCTTTCTCTCATGGAGCAGCTGGTGGGTTTGAATCCCCGACCTTGTGCTTCGCAGGTCAGCACCTAACCCACAGCACCACCAGGGCTCAATAGATAAAGAGCAAATACCTATGTAGTGAACCACGGCAGAGGTCCAAGAGGAACATAAAGGATGCCATCGAGTCAGTGCCAACTCATAGGAAACTCCTGCGCAACTGAACAATACGCTGCCCAGCCGTGCACAAGCCCACTGCTGCTGCCAGTGTCAGTCCTGCTCACTGGGCTCTTCCTCTTTTTCACTGACACTCTACTTTGCCAAGCATGATGTCCTTCTCCAGGGAATGTCCAAAGTATAGGAGACGAAGTCTGTCTATCCTCTCTTCTAAGGAGCCCTCTGGCTGTACTTCTTTCAACACAAATGTGTTTGTTCTTCTGGCACTCCATGCTACTTTCAACATTCTTCTCTGACACCATAACTCAAATACATCGATTCTTCTGTATCTGCCTTATTCACTAACTTTCACATATGAGGCAACTAAAAATATCACGGACTAGGTCAGGCACACCTTAGTCCTCAAACTGACATCCTACCCTTGAACACATTAAAGACATCTTGTGCAGCCGATGTGTCCAATGCAATTCATTGTTTGATTTCTTGGCTGCTGCTTCCATGGGTGTAGACTGTGGATCCCAGCACCATGGAATCCTTGGGAACATCCACCTTTTCTCCATTGAAGATGATGAGGTGATGAGGGGAGGTCAACATTTCAGGGGGTGTGGTGATCAGGTAACTTCTCTGATGTCACCGCAGGGGACGGGCAGCATCGCCCGACAGCCAGGCTCTAGGGAAAAGCTGGAGGGTGGTGGACGCTAGAGGGCTCGTGATGAAGAGACCAGCTGCAATCAAAGCGCCAGGTACAGGGCAAGGCAGGCTGGAGAGTGAGAAAACCTCACAAGGTGAGGCTGAGGGCAGCAGGGTCTCCAAGGAGGAGCAGAGGGAAGGACTGAAGTCAGGAGAGACAGGGTGGAGCAGGGACGGGCTAACAGATGCATGCAGGGTCTCTCCTGAGATGGAGAAGGAGCTCTGAGGCTGATGCCACTTGATGTCCTGGGTTCTCACAGGTGGGAAGCTGAGTCCTTCGACAAAGGAAGGAACTCTGTCCAGGGGCCCCCTGGCAGGAAAGGATCCCAGTGGGTTAGAGTGTATATCCAGCAGGACTGTGGTGCCAACTGCAGTGTCCCATCAAACCCTGCTCCCTCTCCATCCTGGTCCACACTCCCTCCTCCTGGTGATCTGTCTTACCTCCTGCTAATGCAGGAGCCGGTGAGGACTCCCGGGCCTAAGGGACAGAGGGAAGGCAGACAGATGGAGGTCCACGTCCACAGAGACTATGCCAGGATGCCCCCAGCCTTCCTCACACTCACCGAAACTGGAAATGACCCAACACCCACAAACTGGCTAGAACAGAGTGCTACCAACAAGTACTCTAATAGGGTCCTGGAGTGGCACTGTACAGTAAGCACCGGGCTGCTACCCACAAGGTCAGCAGTTCAAATCCCCAGCCCTTCCCTGGAAACCTTATACAGGATCGCTATGAGTAGGAACTGACTGACCGGCACCCGCCACCACCATCCACAATAAAAAGGAGACAACTACAGCCATGCACACCAATAGGGACACACCTTAATGTCACACTGCCATCTAGGAACCGGTCTAAAGCAGTTACGGTGATAGAGCAGATGGGTGACAGAAGGCGGCAAGGGAGACGCTCAGGAACCCCCAAAGCTTCGAGTTCTTGTCTTTGCAGGCATTCCACAAATGCACACAGCTGTCAAAATTCACCTCCCCAAACAATGAACGTTTTTCACCAAATCGGCAAAGAAGTTTTTTAAATCATACTATTAAATTGAACAATAAACTGGATGAGGTAAGATAAGCACTTTCATAACGGCTAGTGGGAATGAGATTTGGACTTTGCAGACATGTTTTACATACTAACAAGCCCCTATCCGAATGAAGCTATTAAAGAGACAAAGATAGCTGCCTATGGATATTTATTTCCCCACTACTTCACATGACAAATAATGAGGAAAATCTAACGTTGAACAAGATGCTTTGAAAGAAAAAGGACACATGCAACTTGAATTGAAGTCTCCGTTCCATCAATATTAACAAGACTTTTTAAGAACACTGGATTTTACGTTCTCCAAACTTCCATGTGCGGGTGCAAGCTGGACAATGAAGACTGAAGTATCGCCACCTTTGAATTACGATGCTGGTGAGGAGCACCGAGCGTACGTACCATGGACCGCCAGAAGAAGAAACAAAACTGCCTCCAAGTACAGCCAGTGTGCTCCTCAGAAGTGAGAATGGTAAGACTGCCTCACATGCTTTGTTTCAGGAGAGACCAGTCCCTGAAGAAGGACATTGTGTCAAGTAGAGGGTCACTGAAACAAGGGAGACTCCCAATCAGCTGGTTTGACACTGGGAGCTGCAGTGGGCTCCAACATGGTAACAATCATGCAGGCAGGCAGGACCGGGCAGTGTTTCAGTCTGCCGTCCACAGGGACACCTGTCCTATCTGTAACACAGGGAGCACCGAGCAGGCATCAGAGCATGCGCAAGGGCCCTAAACGTCCATTTCTCCACTAATGGTAATGCCCAGTATCTGAAGGGCAGGTGAGACTGTCCCTTTGGTCCTCTCGATTAACAGTGGCCCCTCCATTAGCGCACGGTTTGAGGAAACCGGAATCACTGAAGACAGAATAAGAAATGTCAGCTCTTCATCCGCAAAATCGTGAGTGCTCAACGCAGGGGTTGCACTATTGTTTTAAGTGTTCCAATCCTAAAACCACGAACGGAGGCACAGCACGAGGCGCCCTGGTGGCACAGTGGTGAGGAAGGCTGACGGCAGCCTAGGATTCTATGGGGCAGTTCTGTCAGCTGGGGCAGCTATGAGTCACAATATACTCAGCAGCATATTAAACTGTCGGGTGTTCTACAAAAGGACAAAACTCCTTAACTGTTCTATAAATGGCTATTAACATCCCTGCGTAGACTTGTGAGGTTTCAGCAATTTACACTCAAAAACCTAACTGCTGTTGTTGTTACTAAGTGCTGTTGCGAGTCGATTCCGACTCATAGTGACCTCATGTTCAACAGAGGGAAACCGTGTCCAATCCTGTACCATCCTCACCATCGCTGTTAAAGCTTGAGCCCAATGCTGCTGCCACTGTGCCGGTCCTACTTAAAAAGAGAACATTTCCATTCATATCACATGTTCAAACCGAGGAGAAGTGATGGCGTGGGAAGTAAAGTTTAAAACAACTACGTTAACACGAGTTGAGATTCTCTCATTGTCACAAAGCCACAGAGATCGGCTCCTTATCCAGGAGCCTCGCATGCGTCCTGTGGGCCCACTGATGCTAATTACTACTGTGGAAGGGGTACAGGGTGGTATTGTGAGTCTGTTTCCAGCACAAAGCAGTAGCAATGTAAATCTCAATGGTATTTACATTTAAACGTTTACCCTTTGAACTATATCTTAAAAGCAGTTTGAAACATGAAACCTAATCACAAAACTGCGAAACCCACAAAAAAACACAGCCTTTCGGTTGATGTAAATTCAAAATGTTTCCTAGAGACAGGACCACACAGGCCAGCTTATCGCAAGAGGTCAGCTCTCAGGTTCTCCACAATGGGGCTGCCCTTTAATGTGACCCCTTCCCTCACCTGCTTGCTGAAATAGAGGAATTGAAGCAGCTGCTGCTGAGCATCAAAGAGTACAGTCTTCAGAAGAGATCACACTTCAACACGCAGAAAACACAAATCCTCACAACTGAGCCAAGAAGCACATCAGGATCAATGGAGACAAGACTGAAGGTGTCAGGGTTTCATTTACTTGGATCCACAAAGTCCATGGAAGTAGCAGTCAAGAAATCAAGGGATACACGGCAATGGTCAACTCTGCTGCAAAAGATCTCATTGAAAGTATTAAAAACCAATGATGTCACTCTGAGGATTAAGGTGCACCTGATTCAAGCCATGGGACTTTCAATCAACTCATGAATGTGAAAGTTGGACAATAAAAAAGACCGGAAAGAACTGATGCATTTGAATCATGGTATTGGTGAAGAATATAAATATACCAGGAACTACCAGACTCCATGGCACATAACAACAACAACAATCAGAAGAATGAACAAATCTGTCTCGGAAGTACAGTCAGAATGCCCCAACTCAGAAGGCTGGTGTACTGTGGACATGTTATCTGCAGGGGCTGGTGGTGGTGGTAGTGTGCCGTGGAGTCGGTTCTGACTCATAACTACCCTGTATAGGGTTTCGGAGGCTGTAAATCTTGACGGCAGCAGAAAGCCTCATTTCTCCCACGGAACACCTGTAGTTTCAAACTGCTGACCTTGAGGTTAGCAGCCTGACTCTTAACCACTATGCTACCAGAGCTACTTATCAGGAAGGATGAGTCCCTGGAAAAGGACACCAAGCTTGAGAAAGTGAAGGGTCAGCAAACAGAGGAAGACCCCTAGTGAGACGGATTGGTACAGTGGGTTCAAACATAACAACTGAGAGGAAAGCACAGGACTGGACAGTGTTTCCATCTGGTGTCCGTGGAATTGCTATGAGTTGGAAACAACACAACAGAGGTCTGTGTGGACAAGTGTTGATTGAGTCAGAAAGCAGCTTTCATCAGTGAGTAAGCTTCGTTCCCCAGGTTAAGCCTAAAATGCCCAAAGCACTGTTGTAAGTACCATAAGCTTGGCCAAACGGAAAATGGTCCCTTTAACCTCTCACTGTTTCATCAATGACAATACCTCCACCTGATCCACCCATCAGAAAAATCACAAAGTACTAGCTGCTTGTGTTTCAAATTCAGCCAGACTTGTACTGAATTGATGGCCCATGAACACCGGCAGACACGCTGCTCCACACAGAAAACAAACAGGTCAGTCTGCGTGCTCAGTGAGTCACAGCGTCACAGCCGTGGCCTCACGTGACCCTAGGGGTGGGCACCATTCTAACCCATGCCACTGCTTAGGAAATGAAGGCTCAGTGATGAAACTGACCCAGGAGTCCCAAGGCTGGAATCTGGAGTGGGGGACGTGATGCCCATCAAACTTCCTTCCACGTTAACTACACACAATGCCGCCCTGGGAGACAAATAGGTCCAAGGTGGCACTGTAACTGGCGAGCACCCTCCCTGTGGGCATGCACTCCTGTAATCACTCCCCCTTTGTAATCTTCTCAAGGGGATGAAGGGCCAGGGGCCAAAGGGGAGGACTGAGACCATGCTAGATCCTAGCAGGAGACCCCGACATAGAGCTGGGCGCCCCCAAAAGTTTAATCACCTAAAAGGGAAGGGGCACTGCCTCACCCAGCTAGACCCTCCATATCTGCTTAAAGTTCTGTGACTGGACAAGAGGTAGGTTCACACAGGTGTGGTCCGGGTCCCCCAGGCGCCCCCGTTCCCCGTGTCCCCCAGAAGCCCCCGACCCCCGTTTCCCCAGGCGCTCCCGTCCCCCGCGCCCCCCAGGTCTGGGTCCCACTGGCGCCCCCATCCCCCGTGTCCTCCAGGCCCGGGTCCCGCCCGACCCCCGCCCTCAGCCGGCCGCAGAGCTGAGTCACCGCGTCCACAACCCCGGGCCTCCGGGGCCAGAGGGTCGGAGCCCGGGGCCTGAGGGTCCGGCCAGGCCGCGGCCTGGGGCCTGCTCCCGGGCCGGGCGGGAGCGGCCCCCGCGTCGCTGAGCCTTCCGGCCGGCCGGCGCTGGACCCCAACGCGGAGACGAGGGGCACCCGGGAGGGCGCTGGCCGTGCCGCCCATTGTGGCCGGGCCTCGTGAGCGGCTTCCGCCTGGTTCTTAACTTCCGCAGCCCCGCTTACTTGGCCCTGAGGCGCAGCAGCTCCTCAAACTGCCCAGTCGAGCCGACCTCAACTACCGTAGGTGCCTCGTGCTGCCCCGTCGCCATGCTGCCGTTGATGCTGCAGTTGATAGACTTGAGCAATCGAGCTTCGTGGCCGACAGCTTCGATGGCCAGCGTCGAGTCCTCGGGGCGCTGCGAATTGGAAAAGCACCACCCCCCGCAGGCCCCGCCCATGCCGCCATGCGCCGTCTCCCTCAGGCCCTGCGCCGGCCCCCCTCAGGCCCCGCCCCCACCCCAGGCCCCGCCTCCCAAATACCCCGATCCTCAGGGCTGTGCCGGCCTCCCTCGAGCCCGCCCCGCAGGCCCCGCCTCCCGGATGCCCGGCTGGCCCTTTTTCCCTCCTCTCTCAGTTCCGTTCCCGGGACCCGCCCCTTCCGGCCTGTGACTACCTCCTCGGGCCCGCCCCTCAAGTCCCGCCTTCCGAATGCCTGCCCCTTTGTTCCTTAGCCCCGGAGAGGGCCTGCCACCTTCGGCCCCGCCCCTCCCTCTGGCCCCTCCCCCCGTCCCCTTGCAGCGGAGATTGTGAACTCACCTGTGATGCTGAAACATGCTGCAAACCTCACGTCCCGGCCTGGAATCCTAATCTCAAGGAAACTGTCAGATGCCTGAAGCTGCGCTATCCACATGTGGTCTTGAGGCTACCAAGCACTTGATATGCCTGAATTTACATGTTCAAGAAAAAGGCCCTGGTGGTGCAGTGGACTGCTAACTTCAAAGTCAACAGTTTGAGTACACTATCCACTCCACGAAAAAAGAGGAGGTTTTCTGTTCCGTCAGGAGTTACAGCTTCGGCAACCCTACAAAGATTTGCTACAAATCGAAATTGACTCCATGGCAGAGGGTATAAGGTTGCAGGTTGGCAGTTCAAACACACCTACTGGGAGAAAGATGTGGCAGTCTGTTTCTATAAAAGACGTTGTTAACCGCTATTGTCTCTTTCGGACTCATAACCACCTAGGATAGGGTTTCTGAGAAGCAGCTGGTGATTTTGAACCATCGACGTTGTGGTTCACACCCAACCTGCAGTGCCACTATATTCTGTCCTCTGACAATTTCTCCTACTTACTATGTTGGCATGCATGTTGCTGTGATTCTGGAAGTGACACCACTATTGGACAGGTTTCAGCTGATCTTCCAGAATTAAACTGGAAAGGAGAAGAGGCAACTTACATCCGAATAGTTGTGGTTGTTGGTAGATGCCATTGAGTCAGTTCCAACTCACAGCAGCCATATGCACAACAGAATGAAACATTGTCTGGTCCTGTGCCAACCTCACAATCTTTGCTACATTAGAGTCCTTCGATGCTGACCCATCTCAGGGGTTTTCCCCCCTTTTCCAACCCTCCACTTTACCAAACATGATGTACTTCTCCAGGGACTGGTTTCTCCTGATAATATATCCAAAGTATGAGAAATAAGTCTCCATCCTGATTCCTAATGAGCATTCTGGCTGAACTTCCTCCAACACAGAATGGTTTGTACATTTGGCAGTCCATGACTTATAATATTCTCCTTCAACATCATAACAAGTGCATCAATTCTTCTATAGTTTTCAGTATTCACTATCTAACTTTCACATGCATATGAAGTTATCAAAAATACCATGACATCTTTGCTCTTTGCTCTTGAACACTTTAAAGAGGTCTTGTGTAGCAGATTTACCTAATGCAATATGATGTTTGATTTTGTGACTGCTGCTTCAATGAGTGTTGATAGAGATTAATCTGAGCAAAATGAAGCCGCTGACGACTTCAATCTTTTCTCCATTTACATGGATGCTGATTATTAATCCAGTGGTGAGTATTTTTGCTTTCTTTGTATTGAGGTGCAACCCATAAGGAAGGCTGTGGTCTTTGATCTTCATCCGGAAGTATTTTAAGGACTCTTCACTTTCAACAAGCAACATTGTATCATCTGCATGTCATAGATTGTTAATGAGTCTTCCTCCAATCCTGATGCCACACGTTTCTTCATATAACCCCACTTCTTGGATTAAGTACTCAGCATATAGATTGAATAAATGTGGTGAAAAAATGCAACCCTGGCGTACACCTTTCCTAATTTTAAACCATTCAGTGTTCTCTTGTTCTGTTCAAACAGCTTCTCTTAGTCTATGTACATATTCCTCATGAGCACAATTAAGGGTTCCGGAATGCCCATTCTCTGCAATGTTGTTCATCACTTTTCATGATCCACACAGTCTAAAGCCCTGGCATAGTCAACAAAGTACAGGTAAACATCTTTCTGGTATTCTCTGCTTTCAGGCAGCATCCATTAGATGTCAACAATAATATCCCTCATTTCACCTTCTCTTCTAACTCTAGTGAAGAGATCACTGTACTAAAAAGAAATGGTAAATGTTCAACAATTTCAAGGGGTAATGTAATGTGATCTAGAGCCAATGATCATAAAGGAAGAGGTCCAACCAACGTGCATTGAAGGCATTATTAGCAAAGAACAAGGCAACAGGATTTGATGAAATACAAATTGAAATCTTTCAACAAATTGATAGAGCACTGCAGGAACTCACTCCTCTATGCCAAGAAATTTGAAAGGCAACTACCTGACCAACTGACTAGAAGAGATCCATATTTGTACCCAAATGTGGATATTTGTCACCCTTCAAAGACAATATCAATTTATCGAACTGTGGTGGCTTCTCAGTTGCTGTGATTCTGAAAGCTATGCCACGGGTATTTTAAATACCAGCAGGATCACCCATGGTGGAGAGGTTTCAGATGAGCTTCCAGATGAAAACAGACTAGAAAGAAGGAGAGACAAACTACTTCCAAATATTTAGTCGCTGAAAACCTTATAAATATCAGAGAAACACTGTCAGATATAGTGCCAAAAAATGAGCCCCTCAGGTTGGAAGTCACTCAAATGGAGAAGAGCTGCCTCCTCAAAGTAAAGTTGACTGTGGTGATGCGAATGGAGTAAAGCCCATGAGAGTAAAGTCCTCAGGACCTACATTGACTGATGGGAAACAAGTCAAAATGAAGAAAATTGCTGTAAACATCCACTAATAATCAGAACATGGAATGCACAAAGTATGAATATAGGAAAATTACAAATTGTCAAAAATGAAATGAAATGCATAAACATCAATATCTTAGGCATTAGTGAGCTGAATTGGACTGGTATTGGCCATTTTGAATCTGACAACCACATGGTTTACTATGCCAGGAATGACAAATTGAAGAGGAATGGTGTTGCATTCATTGTCAAAAGAACATATCCAGATCAGTCATGAGGTACAATGTTGTCTGTGACAGGATAATATCCATGTGCCTACAGGGAAGACCAGTTAATAGCACTATTATTCAAATTTACTCACCAACCACTAAAGCCAGTGAAGATGAAATAGAAGAATTCCACCAACTTCTTCAATCTGAAATTGATCAAACATGCAATCATGATGTATTCTTCATTACTGGTGATTGAAATGCAAAGGTTGGGAGCAAAAACGAAGGAAAATATGGCCTAGGTGAAAGAAATGATGCTGGAGATCGCATGATAGAATTCTGCAAAATCAATGATTTGTTCATTTCAAATACCTTCTTTAGATAGCAGAAGAAATAATTATACACATGGACCTCACCAGATAGAATACATAGAAATCAAATTTACTACATCTGTGGAAAGAGATGATGGAAAATCTCCATTATTATCAGTGAAAACAAGGCCAGGGGCAGACTGTGGAACAGGCCATCAATTACTCATATGCAAATTCAAACTGAAGCTGAAGAAAATGAAAACAAGTCCGCAAGAGGCAAAATATGACCCTGACTATATCCCACCTGAATTTAGAGATTATCTGAAGAACATATTTGATACATTAAACACTAAAGACCAAAGACCAGAAGAGTTGTGGGATGACATCAAGAACATCATACATGAAGAAGCAAAAAGCCATTGAGAAGACAAGAAAGAAAGAAAAGGACAAAATGGATGCCAGAAGAGACACTGAAATTTGCTCTCCAGCATAGAGATTTTAAAGCAAATGGAAGAAATGAGGAGGCCCCAAAGTTTCACAGAAAATTTAAAGATCAGCTCGAGAAGATAAAGCCAAATATTACAACAAAATGTGCAAAGATCAGGAATTAGAAAACCAAAAAGGAAGAACACACTCAGCATTTCTCAAGCTGTGGGAACTGAAGGAAAAATTCAAGCCTCGACTTTCGTTATTGAAATATTCTCTGGGAAAATTATTGAATGATGCAGAAAGCACCAAGAGAAGGTG